GGAAATAATAAAAGCATCCAGTCGCAAGAAAATAATGTCGGACGCGATTGCACTGCGGCAAATTGAAACGTCGGCAAACTGGGCGCCGCGATAATCGAATAGATTTGTAAGTCGTCGATGGCAATTAGTTTTACGATTGTCGTCATATCCGGCGCGCTCGAAATTACGGATTAAGTTCGTTTCGATTTTCGTCTCGCCGACGGCGCAAACAGCCGGAAACCGGAACGAAAATATAAGAGAACGTCTTCGTTATCGATTCGCGCGTTATGCAAACGCAAGTAATATAATAAAATTTAAGTTTTTTGATAAATTAATTCTATTTTTATATAAAATAGTCTTGAAAGCATCGCAGAAAAAAAAATTTATGTTCATCATGAGTTGTGCTAGTCATAAAATGAGGTCGCAGTTTTATGTTTTATCCTTTCGCTGCAATCCGGACTTGTACTAAGCACTCCAAGTTTATGCAAATGGATGCCATAAGACGGACGCTCCATGACTGCAAACGCAGACATTACTTAGTTGCAGCTTTCAAAGGACACCATAAATTATAATTTCGTAATGAAATCAATTTCACTTTAATAAAGTTTCCGTGAACAATCTTGACATGTTAAGCAAGTCTTAATCAGTTTATCTACGAGAGATTAATCCCTGGCAGAGATTCATCAATTTTCTTTATATTTTACTCGTATTTTTAGTGTGTTTAGAAGAAACAAAATTTAATGTATATGATATGATCCTCTAAGTGCACGAAAGTGCTGAGTGTGCACCAGATGCTTGCGCTCGACTTACTTGAAACAGTCGAAGGAAAAGTTTGCAAGGACCTTTCGGCGCGCGCGGATTTACCGAAAATCCCGCAGATGGTACGCAATTTAAAACGAGTACCGAAATCACAAGTTTGCTTCCAAGGCGAGCCTTGTTTGGAGGAGATTACTGGGTCAACCCTAGGCGCGCGGCAGCTGAGCGGCGATAATCCGCAACAATTCGAAACTTTTCGCTGGGAATTAATGCCGCCACAATCACCATCTTAGACGCGGCAGAATAATAATCATCGTAAAATAATAAATGTATAATTATCACTAAAACTATTATTATTTAAAGTGAATTATGTGAATTATGGGTAAATAACTTTATGATTCATTTTTTGGTTTTAATGGGAAAATAACAAGACATAAATTACGCCGGTAATGGTAGAGTATCAAGGTGTCATCTTCGTGAAAAATGCGAGGGTATTTATTAACAGCACGAAACAGTTTAATGCGTGCTTAAACGACAAATACGGCTGAAATTGAACGCGTCGAAAAGGAAACATCATTAATAATCTAGAATGTCTTCATCCGGATGCTTGCTGAATATATAATTGCATTATAAATACATGACAAGTAAATTTTATCCAAAAATAAACAAATTTTCATATTTTCACCTTTAAAACACCAATTTTCCACTGTTTTGAGGCACAAAAAGTGATATTTTAAACACGGAAGACCAAAATCGTCACTAAAGTACTTTAGTCATAGGTTTTAGTCACGGGAACGGGAAAAAAATAAAAATTGCATTTTTTACATTTAAAACGCCAGTTTCCACGGTTATGAGTGACAAAAGTGGTATTTTAAACACGGGCGACCAAAAAAGTACTTTAGTCACGGACTTTAGTCACGGGAACAAAGAAAAAATAAACAAATTTTGCTAATTTCACCTTTAAAACGCCAGTTTCCATGATTATGAGACACAAAAGTGGTATTTTAAACACGGACGACCAAAAAAGTATTTTAGTCACGGGTGTGAAAAATAACAAATAAATCAACCAAACTACGACAAAAAGTTAAAAAAACACCCCTAGCACATGCAATATTATAAATATCTTTAAAAATATATAACGAAAGCTTAAAAGCTTTATGTCCACAATGCAAATAAACTTTGTTTTGTTTTATTTTACAACGTGCATGTTGATAAAATAAAAAGAATGTTTTGTGTATTAAAATATTCAAAACTTGCGTACGCCAGGGAGACATTCAAAAAAGTTACCCCGCAAGAGGATTTATATCAGCTGTGGAATATTTCGCGTATTTTTTCGGCGTGTCATGCAGATGTATTTTTTCCGCGGCGCGTAGTAATCGATAAAGTTGTATCGCCCGGCGCCTCCACGGAATGCTCGCACAGTAAGATAATTCCGACTGGAACATGGGATCTAATCTGACATAAGTACGTTCGTAAATACGCAATAAAACAAACAAGCAAACAAATATTACTTTGGCATTATGTATTTACTCATGTCGGATTATATTGCTTTCTATTCTTACACCATTGTTTCAATCATCGACAGAAAAAAAAACTTTCTTTTTGAATTAAAGCACAACCGCATCAAAAAACAAGTTTACCTTCGCTAATTCAGTGTAAATATTTACACTAACTTCTGTAATTACTCATGTTTGTTAGCAAATTGCGCATTGTTTGAGTTTAATTAAAAAAATCCCGAAAAACTTTTCATTTTCTTATAAAATTTTGTTTTTTAATGGAAAAATGCTTTTAAAACGACAGAAAATAAATTTAATATAATATTATTGAGTAGAAAGTAAATAAAACGTATTAATATCAATATTATCCTTGGTGGTTTAGCGTAGATAAAGCAGCCGCAAGCAAATCTGTCAGTTTATGCTCTGTGCGCAATAAAAATCGCATTTGTTTGCCAGCTGTGCAGTTTGCTGCGCACACATCATACGTTCGACTGTTTGTGCATGCAGAACTAAACCGAACGCAGCTAAAATCCGGCACAGTTTACAATTTAACATAAAACTGCCATATTGCCACTGGCATTTAACCGGCATGCGCCCCGCATCAAAATAATTTTATTGATACAGAAAAAAGAATTAAAATTTTATTCATTCCATTGTTATTCTTGACTAAATCATAATATTAAATATTTGCGAGTGTTTTTTCATCGCAATAAAGCTTGTTGGAGTCATATTTGTAGTTTTTGTAAATTTACCGCCCCGCGATGCGGATGTAAAACCTGTTTGTAGTTCAATATTGATCTAACTCGGCACCACCCAGCCCAAAAACAAATAAGAATTATTTACTTTTAATTACTGCGCACGCAAACTGCAAGCGATAAACAAAAATATTCGCGTATATTATTTTTTAAGTTTTAATGATTCTATTGGAAATACTAAACGAACAAAATAAGTGAAAATACTTTTGTTGTTTGTTGATTTTTTTTCCTTTTTTCGTTTTTATTTTTCAAAGCTCTCGTAATGACTTCCTACGCTGTTACCTTTGCTTTGCCTTAGTACCAACTAAGTTTGTTGCTTTGTGGTTTGCCGGAGAGTTTCCGGCAAAGAATTTGCGGCGATATCAAATGACCGCAAAAAGACTCGTGGTTTTTTATTTCCTAGCCTTTTACGAGAAAGGTACGCTTAGCACTTGAACATCAACCTGAACATCATGTATTTTTTTTTGTTAGAAAAAAATTTAATTCTTAAAATTTGGAAATTTTGATTTTGGCGAGTTTTGTTTGACAAATTGTTGTGTTTGTTGGCAAAACAGTGAAACTGCAAAATGTCGCTGCGGTCGAGATATAAATTACGCCGGAGTGGCGCACTGTTACGTAATCACAAGTCCTTGAACTAGTTTTCTAGAGTGCTGCAGCCCGATACTACACAGATCCTGCGGTCTGTCCTCATTGTTTCCGCTACATTTAACGCAATCGAATTACACTTCATTTCGAATACGACAACATATCCACATGCAGCTAAACTGTATTTATTATGTAAATTGCATAAAAATGCCACGCATTTAGCAAACCCATGAGAAAATTAAATTTCTGCGTCTCCTACGTCTCGGAAGTAAATATATTACGCTCTAATTTCATTCGATAAATTATAACGAATTCGCATTAGTGCGGAGGCAGTGAGAAGAAACACGAGCCGTTGATATTCATTAGAATTCCGGATCTGCTTCGAGCATAAAATTAGATACAATGCGAAACAATTACGATCAAACAGAATGAGCAGCGCGCAGTCGAAAACAAACGACGTGCTGTAAAGTGTAAATGAAACGCAAATGAAGCGAATAAAGTGACCAGCAAATAACTCCACAAAATTGGCTCAAATTTTCATCAAAAAGCGAAGAGAAAAACACCGGGAAATGCAATCAAGCAATGATTTGTTGTCTATACACAGCGTGTATTGTCGTTGTCAAAGTTGTGGTCTCGCTTCGGATGGTCGACGGCCTTAAAAAGTTAAACGTCGAGCACGTTTCTTAATTCTATTAAACTTAGCTTAGCAGCCAGACGGGTTTTTCCCGAGTGGAGAGCAAATTGGCTGCGCAGAGATACGCGCAAAGTTTTGTTTTGTGTGTCCAATCCTTTTCACAAACTTTACTTCTGCACGTGACTAACATGACATAGAATTTTTTATCTATCAGACATATGTTATATAGAAAAATTACATTATGTGCAATGCGGTTTAATTCAATAGAAAATGAAAAATTATTTTTAATAAAAATTGAAATATCTCCGGAAATAATTGCATCACATGATTGAAAAATATATCAAAACAAAGATAAATTAATCACGCATCTTTAACATTTAAAAGATTTTAAAATTTTTTAATATTTTGGAAATAAATTAAAAAACAATTTTTTTCGTATTCAATTTTATCGCGGTTTTGTAAGAATATAATGCGTACTTCGTTTATTAATAAGACGCTAGCCGAATGCTTGCTTACGATGAGAATTTCATTACGCGCTAAATTTTAATTTGCGCCCCGAGCGCAACGTATGTATCTGACGTAGGAGAACACACATCGAAGAATGGTGAAGACATTCGACGTTAAACCCTCTGCTTATCCGCGCAGATTAAACGGCTTACGCTTTGCGCGTAGCAAAATTCAAGGTGTACGCCGGATTTCATCAAATGTTCATTTACCACCGGCACAAACTCAAAGCACAAAGCGCGCCACGCGCAAAATACAAATCTTACAAATTAATTAAGCAAAATTACTCACCAAATATTCACCGGATATGGACGTATGAACGTGTAAACGTGCGTATCAGAAATCTGCGGGTAAAAAAAGAGGATCCAGTTAAAAATCTCACACAATTTACACGTGGTTAACACAAGATGATGATAAAAAAGCGCGCGGCACGATTTTTACGTGCGAGGGCGATGAACACGCAGCTTAACGCGCGAAGCTTGCTCCGGCACTGCCACCAAGCAATTCGGAGAGCCTGGGGGTGCGTCTGGAACACCTACGTAATTATCCGCGCATGCGCAAATAAAATATTTCGTCTAATTAAAAGTTTAAATCTTGATTTCGCCAAAACAACGCGCAACTTGTATTTTTATTTTTAACTCGCTAAAGCTTTTAATTTACTGGATTATCAAGTTCTATCGCTAATTGGTTTTTGTAGTGAAATTAATTTGCCGAAAGCTAATAAAATAGTTTTATTAAATAGGTATGTGTGGGTAATATGTATACGCGAAGAGATTTTGCATCTCGGCGGAAAGTTTGAGTAGTTTCAAGTAGAATTAAGCGAGTTTTGGCTCGAGTGTTGACTCAATTAAAGGGGGTTGAAGTTTATTGCGTGTTTTTCCGCACGTGGGCGGCAAATTAATAACGTGTTATGTCAAGTAGGCTTTGCGAAGTTTTTGCATTGTTTTAGCGCTGAGCACTTTCAAAGCGCAACTTTCGCAATTAATAAATCAACTTATCAAACTAAAAATTTCATTTTCACGCATATAACAATTATCTATAAAATACTTCAGCATCAGTGATTAAAGTAGAGTTTTAGGCACGAGTGTTTAATGAATTGAGTGATTAACAACGTTTAGCCACGGGATACTTACAATATTTTACTTTCACTTTATTTCTACGTTGTGTTTTTGTATTTAAAGCAGGCGGAAGTTCCACCCCGTGACTAAAACCCGTGACTAAAGTACTTTATTCACGGCCGTGTTTAAAAAACCACTTTTTGTGCCTCAAAACCATAGAAAAACAAGTAGAAGTCAAAAAATATTTTTTTGAAGAAAATTTTTAAATTTTCCAGTGCACTTTGCAATAACATTACTTTTAATGTAATATCTCTTAATATTAAAACATACTCCGGCTTCATTAAACTTGCAGTCGAACACCTAATGGATTTCTATCACCCTGCCGCCTCCGACTCCAACTGCACGCGTACTCAAATAGTTAGTTATTTTAATGGCCGACACGTAGTTATGATTTGGCTGGTAGCGAATGCGATCGTAAATGTATACGTGCGTTGCGCATTTGCATAATTTATACGTCAACTGCGGAATTCGCATTTTGACGGCAACAATGCACTTTAAAACGGACAGATATATCAGCGCGCAACAACAATTCGCCCCAACGCCTCCTGAGAATTTACTAAACATTGTGCTAAATTACGACTGTGCGCACTGGCATCGCTCCAAACAATTATTTAAAGCGCAACATTTGAATCCGCTTGTGAAATAATAGATACTTCCTCAATAAGCTCAGAAGTGTTTGATGGTTGATGGTTGATCTCTGGTGCGGTGTAGCGAATCGGATCGATTACGTGGTTCCTTTGATGACAACCCTAGCTCTCGATTCACACAAATTAGTTACACGTACTGAAATTTCCACTAAAACCTATCTATGTAAACTAGTAATAGTAATTTGAACCGAAAATCAATATTCTTAGCGTGGTATTTATGTAATATACAAATAAATTGTTTTATTTCGCTTATAATGTGATTAAAATTCGCCGCAAAGTTGACAACGATGAAGCAAATTTAATGAACCTTAATGCCCGAAGATGGCTCCAACCTAAAATGTCGAAAAGATTCGTCGTAATTTAATTTACGTGCTTGTAGGCGCCATAATTAAGACGACGCAGCGGGGAAAATATAAAACGAAATTAAAATCTCGTCGTGCGGTGGTGGAGGCGCCTAATCGACTTGTAAAATTAACGATAATGCGCTGTTTTTATAAACATTTCCGCTCGCGGAGATAAAATCACCTTTAAAAAACAATAAATTCACGTTTTTATTTTTCACAAAATGAATATAAAATAAAATTAAATCGTGTTGAAATTGGCGTGCAGCCAGACAAACTGAAACTCGAGATGAGATATTTATACACTTTATAAATTCGCCCCCGAATCGATAGCGAGACCTGACCTAGATGATGAGGATGTGTCCGTCGAGCTATTTTAAATTGATGTGCAAAAAAAATCAACTATTTTTAAACCTGCGGTGATTTTGATTTTGATTTGGCGGCGGAAATATAGTGCCTTAAATTGCGATCAAAAAGTGTCTATGAATTATTCCGGCGTTTTATGAACAATATGCATTTGTTCTTGCCGAGCGCAATAAAAATCTCATTTACCTTTTGTATGCGCACACGATGCAATTTATCGCGAATATGGCCGGGGCGGATTTTCATCGCGCATGCATGAAATGCGCTTTGTGCACATGCTCGCCGTATTATTCATAAAACAATCGATTCGCAACGAGAGGTTAAAATCTATGCAAAACATTCAACTAATTCGTTTTTACATCAAAGTAAAAACAAAACTAAATTTATGTATGAATGTTACTTTTGTCATTAAAATAAACGTTATGTTTATGAAATTAATTTAATATGAAAAGAATTAATTAAAAAATTTATTTATTGAATCGAACGTTTTTTTGGTTTTTCTATTTCCTGTTGGATCCGCTCGCTTTTAAAGTTTTTCAATCCGTGATGAAATTTTCAGGCGGATCGAGCACGTTTCAATTTCCCTGCATCCATGTGCACCAGACGTCCGGACCAAAACTCGCAGTTTGAATTTATCCGACTTTTAAAACCATCAAACCTCTTACCGTCGATTTTCAATCAAGTCTGTGCACTTTGCGATTCAAACACAACTAATTAAAAGTACAAACATTTTTCTTTCCTAAATGCAAATATTTTGTTTTAGCAAATGTTATGCACCGTACGCCGGTGAGCTTTAAATATTATAAAGCTCTACATCTGCTTAAAACTTGCGTTTCAACTTTGTCCATTTCCTTCCACGTTTATAGTCAACAATTACACTCACGCGCCCAACTTTCGCCATAAACTTGTTCATCTTTTCCCGGTGCACGTTTTTGTAACTTTACTCAGCTACTTATCTAATACTTTATCCGTGTTACAAAAAAATACAACGAAAAACTAAAGTTTTCAAAAATAAATTTAAAAAATAAAATATTTATCGACGTGATTTTGGGTGTGGGAGTAGGTTAACAGCTCCATTATCCGATGCGTGGTTGAGGTTACCGCCGCTTTCGAAATTAATAAACTTTTGCCCGGTTAGAGCAACAACCTAATGGAGTTTTGGTTAATGAGTTGTCGCGATGCGTGTCAACATCACTGATGTTGATATTAACAACATGTAAATTAATATAACACACTATGAAAGCGCGTATTACACTGATTCCGAGTAAATTTAACTCAAAAAACACACAAATTTTACGCAGGTTTGGAAGTGTAAAGTCGTAAAATTCACAATCGAATGTTCGCAAACTTCTCTGCCGTGAGTTGTGCAACAAAACAAGCAGTTTATTTTACTGCTCGGCTTGTTGTACCAAAGTTAAACCGCATTGTCGATATCTTGGCGCATTGCAACGTCTGCACATAAATTCCACCATCTTGTTCCGCTTCCGGAACTAGCTACCAGCGACACTCTACTTTATCTTATAAAGTTTTATGCATATTATTTATTTTTTCTAACAAAAACAGTTTTTTACAACTTACGCCATCTATGGTCGATTTTAAAACTAAAACTTGTGTAGATTTTATATTTTTGAGTTTAAGTATGCGTCAAGATGTGCAGCACATTAAAAAAATGTTACTTTTAATTAAAGTCGTTACGAAATGCAGACATTGAGACATTAAAACCCTTTAAAAGAGAAAAACTATAAAATGCAAGGCATAAACTTGCTTCCCGCACATAACTCACAGCAGAAACTTTGTCATAGACATAAACCTGTCATGTTGAATGCTGGCGTACAGATTAATCTGCGACACTTGCCAAAATTTCGGTCGGAATTGCAGTCAAAAAATCTGCAAGCGTAATTTTCGGAAATTTTACTTTCTGGGTAAAAGGCTTTTCACGTAAGTTAGCACGAGGGTTTTACTTTCGCCCCGCTTAGAAGGTAGGTAATATATTCGCAGCTAAGTTGCGCCAATATAAAAAGAAAAGGGCCGCAATCATTTCCAGCCCATTGCGCCATTATCGGCCAAACTATCTACACAAGAATGCCACCTGTGCAGAACCAAACTTTCCTAAGACACGTTACGTAACTTCTCCCCCGAAATAATGTAAAAATACATTTGTAATCAACTGTTTTTTGTCTTCTTTTACTTAGTATATATAAAACAGTAGATTATGAAACATAACAAGTTGCAAGCCTAGCCTGGGATCCAGAGGGAAAATATCGAATGCCCGGCGGGGACGAACAAATTGGAAGTAATTTTTTTAATCAGCGCGCACACAAACCCCGTCACCAGCGACGACAAAAACAAACGAAGTCACAATCAGCAAACTTTTATCCGCCGACTGCAATGGGGGAGGACGATTGACTCAATTAATACGCGGACGGAAAAAAAGCGGCGCGTTACCGGAAATGTAACAAACGTGTTACGCAACGTTTGTAACAGCGATGAGTATGCGAGCAAAAGCCAGCTAGAATCAATAATATTGTTTCACTGCGCCAAATCTAATTAATACAAACAATTCGCACAAAATGTGGGCGAAATTAAATCGTAATATGCACACGTGCCATGAACAATTACTAGTTTGTGATGTAACAATAATATATATTCGAGTGTATTGGAAAATAATAACTAAAAAAATATTTACAATTTATTTTATCTTCGGTTGCGGTTATCTCAAAAACTAAAAGAGGTAGAGCAGCAGGGATTGAATATTCTTAATCTATGGAAAATTCTCTATAAGATAGAACAAGAAAATTAATAAAGTTCGGGGTGTAAAGGTTTTGAAATCAAAGTTAAAAATGCGAAAAAATGAACATTTTCATTTTTTGACTTT